AGTTTGCGTGTTGTGCGGGCAACTAGGTCAACATAATCTGCATACGCCAAAATTTGGGATGATTTATTGAAAATGTTTCCTCTGCTGTCTATTTGGGCATCCCTGACCGCCTTTTCCAGAGCTATGTTGATAAGGAGACACGCCAGCGCATCTTCCTGTCGCAGCCCAACATGCGTTTCAAATGCCTGTGATTGTTTGCAGTTAGGCTTAACCAGTCTTATCAGTTTATCGGGGATGTGAAATTCATCCATGGCTTCATACAATTTATTTCTTAGGACACTATCATAGGCCGATTGAAAATCTACGAAAAGATGGTATGTGCCGATCTTGAATTCACTGGTTTTTTCCAGTATTTATCTTAGCCCAAAGATCTGGTCTGTTCTTTATCGACAAGGCCCAAAACCACTTTGATGTTCGCCAAGCACCTCCTCTGAATATCCACTCAGGCGACTATATAAAATACTCGAAAATTTTTTGTATGCTGTATTAAGAAGGGTTATTGCCCTATCATTTCTACATTCCAATTGATTACCCTTTTTGTGTAGCGGGCAAACGATCCCAATACACCACTCTTTCGGGATTTGTTCCTCATTCTGTTGATTTGAATCTTCCACTTCGATAGTAAGTAGTTCTTTATAGTGTTCCACTCACCTTTTTAATACTTCTTCTTTTGTATTGAGTATATGCCCCTCCTTATCCTTACATAGTCCGATCCTTGGTTTAAATTCTAAAACCAAAGTAGAGTAATATTTTTATATTGTTGGTTACGAAGTTTTGTTCTGTAACTGGCTTTTATAGTATTTGACCCTTTGAGTTGAAATTTCCTAAAGTGAAATAACTTTATAAAAAAATATTTATAAATTGCGATATTTGTGAAGAGAAACGAGTATTGTTGATGTTGTGGAACGCGTAGCGGAATTGAAATGGGAATGGGCAAGCCATGTAGCAAGAATGCATGACTCACAATAGACGAGCATAATTACAAATTGAAGGCCAAGAGCAGACAAATGTAGTAGAAGAAGACCACCTACACGTTGGGCTGACGACATCAGACGTATCACGAAAAATTGGCAACAAACAGCACACAATCGTAAATAATGGACGAGTTTAATGAAGGCTCATGTCCAGCAGTGAACGTGATAAATGAAGGTTGGATGATGATGATGATGAAAGTGATGTTTAAGGTATTATATAGAGTCTATACTTTTAGTTTTAAAAAGACGTGAATTGACAATACTATGGTTGATGGATTGACAGTGAATTGACAAGATTATGAGATGTCTCATATTCTCAATAATATTTTAACCTTATAGTTTTTAATAAGTATACTTTTCCAAAGGTTCTTGTTACACTGAATACTAATTTGATCTCCAAATTGCCGAATTTGCTCTGGTTAACAGAGTTTTGCGCAGACACTATTATCTTTATATATAAAAATATCGTTTTATCTTGAAGAATGACCTTTATTTTTTTTATTGTAATTTTAAAATGTTTCATACGACTTCATCCATACAGTTTTAGTTCATTTGATCCATGTACAAACATAAAATAACCTTTAACAAGCGTTATTTTATATTTTCACAACTTTTTTTATAATAAATCGAGAACGACTGAGTCCATCTGGTTAATTTTAATTTTGAAATATTCATTTTAGGTCCTAGGAAGATCTAATAGGCATGAAACTATGATGAAATTATAAGGAAAATAGTATTTCAATGGTGTAAATCTTCTGGTGGTGATACAATGAACTATAGAGAGAGAAACTTGTTCAGCTACACGTAACGAATACATACTATTTTGATTTTAATAGGATTTTACCATACCAACGTTTATTGACATAATATTCTATAACATATTAGAATAAAATAAAAAAACAAGTGGGGTTTACTGAAAAATAATTCTGAAAATATAGGCTGGATCTCAATACAAACATAACAAAGTAGATGTTAGCAAAAATTTGGTAAACCAACAGCCAATTGACAGGATAAACAGCTACATATATCTTGGTACTAACATAAATATACTAACTATACTAACATAACGTAAGTTGCAAATGGATTATGTGTTAGACTCAGTCATTCCTTTACTATCTTTCAAATTCCATTTATTAAAAAATATGTTGATGATATAATTTTGGCTAGACCCAATGACAAGGTAGATGAACTATTAGACACCTTTAATAGTTATGACCCCTACATCCAGTTCACTATAGAGAGGGAAGATGGTAATTGTTCCGTCCCATTTCTCGATATAAGGATGATTGGGGAAAACAACAACATTAAAATAGATTGGTATCAAAAACCGACACATTCTGGTAGATACCTTAACTACCACTCTTACCATAATAACCCTACCAAAGTCAACTCCATCAAACAAATGAAAAATAGAGTAATTAAACTATCAGATCCTTCATTTCATACAAAAAATCTACAAATCCTTCTGAAACTTTTTATTTCAAACTCTTATCCAATACCATTAGTAAATAAGATTTTGTTTAATACTATCCATAACGAAGATACTTCACCTTCCATCGTGACTAACAATGCTAATCCTGATGTCTTAAGTAGGAACCCAGTCTCGGATACTCCTATCAATAAATATTTTTCATTACCCTATTTCAGAGATATCACTCCGGGGTTAACAAGGATTCTAAAAAGTTTTGAAAATAGCTTTGGGAATAATAATAATAATAACATTAAACTTAATGTGGCTTGTAGATCAGCCCTCACAATTAATAATCTTTATTCGAACATAAAAGATAAGACTCCCATAGATAGGCTTAGTAATATTGTCTACAACATTCCATGCCTCTCTTGCAGCAATTGCTACATCGGCCAAACATCTCAATTATTGAAATCACGTATTACACTACACAAAAGTGATTCTCGACTTCACCCTGACCGTTGTGCATTAGCCAAACATGTCCATTCCACTGGTCATCATATGGACTATACGAACACTACAATTCTCCACCGTGAGAACAATAAATCTAAAAGAGAGTTCATTAAAATGTCTTATATTTTCCTTAACGATTTTTTCATTAATGTTAAGAGTGACATTAAGAATCTAAGCGATATATACCACTTCTTACTTAAATCAGATACCAAGAACAATATAACATCACAGATAACTAACTTGACTGATATATCTATTAACAACTAACCTACTTTAATGATAATTTTCATTAACTAAAAAAGATAACATTCCCTTGCTTGTCTTAGATACATCTCAATAAGATATTATTATAATAATACATGAACAATATACTAATTGAAAAATAGAATTTCAATTAAGAAAATTCTAAACTAATATCTCCCCAGACTGGGATAAAACTTCATCGGTTTTACCAATGAACCTTAACGACATAAATATTCAAAAGTACTACTTGTGATTGTTCAGCGCTTGCGTTCTATGAAAACAGAAGCTCACATTCAAACTTTATAACAATCAAAAATTTAGTTATTGCCGACAATTCAAAGAATTACTTCCTTTAAATGTAGTTACATTGGGTTTTTGATTAACCTTGGGTTAACCTTTGCGTTTTAAGTTCAAAGCTACCATACATTTCCAACGTTAACAAATAAACTTTTTGCACATAGTAACAAAAAGAACACCAATATGTTGTTACTAGCTAAAGTTTTTTAACATCATAACTCGACATTTCTAAAATTTACGGTAAGGTAACTGTTTTTTATTAGATAATATATGGTAGCTAATTATAATTTATTCTCTTTTAGCCCTGAAGAAGCCAAATTAATTCTCTTTGGCGAAAACGTTAGGCGAAACAATTAATACACATTAGAGTTTTCTTGCAGATTTCCCCAATATTTAAGAGTTTACTATATATATATATATATATATATATATATATATATATATATATATATATATATATATTATATATATATATATATATATATATAATATATATATATAATAATATAATATATATTATATATATATATATATATATATAAATAAGTTCTTTAATGTCATTACTACACTAAAGAGTCTTTTTTGTCACATATATAAACATACCTTGAACAACGAGCACAGAGTACAATAAAAGGGTGATAACGACAGACATAAAAAAGAAAAAATTTAAACAAACAGCTCTCATTATACTTAATAAAGGAAAATGTGTAATAAACCCACCAGCAGAATGAAGTTGCCAATACCTACTATAAATAGATGACAACAATAAGAATATATCAACAATAGCGTATCAATAGAAAGGTTGGACACATATCATCTACAATTTATACACAATACATATGCAACACAAAATACACAATCAGTTAATCTACGTAAACATACTTTAAAAAAACAAACAATACTAAAAAATACACAAACCAGTCAGACATTGATATCTTGTGGGTAAACACACCATCATCAGATTTTTTCAATTTTCAAACAAAAGCCCCAATTTTGAAAAAAACAGAACCTACTAAACATTGTTGGTTAATCACTTTCACAAAATTTTCTAAAATAATCAGTTTTAAAAACGATTTCCGGAGTAGAAATCGAAATGTCAAACAATTAAAAGTTTAATTTTCATTACAATTCAATTGCGACTTAATTCCATACAAATATAATATTTATTCTATATTTTAATTTATTTATTATGCAAACAATGATAATTTAATATTAAGTATATTTTGACTTTTATAATGCCTTTCTTTTGTTAACTGATCATATTCTCTCATTTATTTTGATTAAGTAAATTCCAAGATTAATATTTGTTCTTGTTAAATGCTAATATTGCGTCATATCCACATTTGTTAAAATTAAAACTCTTATTTGATATAAGATTTTTGTTACAAGACACAACAGAACTTAATTTTAAAACAACCGCCGGAAGCATTTACTTGACGTATACCATTTTTTCACCTGTCCAAATTAATACTCATCAGTTTCTTATCTATTCCAAATAATTTGGTAGGTATTTAAAGGTAAGGACAATTAGAACATTATTATTGTGATACCAAGTCGTTGTGAAAATGTCTCAGAAATCTAATTACTTTTTATATTGGGCAGTACTTTCAGGTGAGGTATACAATAATTGCAAAAGCCAAATTAAATAAAACTAAAACAAATTTAAATAAAAAATAAAAAAAATGTAAACATAGTGACTTATCTTCGTCTTCTTCCTCCTCTTTTTATGTAGACATGATCATCTGTCTATTTTTCAATGTGCCTCCAGTAAGTTGTTGTTTAATCGTTTATGCCGTTTGCCGCCATTACATTAGTTCAATTCTTCTTACACAAGCCTTGATGTTCTCCACCTTGCATCTAAGTCGTATATCTATACTTCTAGCACTGTTGCATTATGCTTTACCTTAAATTTTTTTACAAGCTTTCATCACTGCTGTTTCTAAGATGCTTTTTGTCCTGTCTCTTTAGGTCATGATTCTGTCGCGTATGTCATTATCAGTCTGACGAATGTTTTGTACATTCTGTGTAATTTGTTTGTTTTATTCAGTCAATGTGCGGTTCTATTTACTCTATTCACTTTACCATCCACTCCTGTTTCGAGCTTTTCCTAGCTAGTTGATGCCTAGATATTTAAACTTCATAACTTGTTCTATTATTATTAAATTGCTGCAGCATGCGTTGCACATTATATTCATATTGAGAAAGTAGTATAGCGTCATCTTCATAGCAGATTATTTTAAGCTGTTTTTCTCTCATTTGGTATCCCGTTTTAGTTCTTATTTTTTTATCATTTCTTCTATATTTAGGTTGAAAAATAGAGGACTCAGGTAATCTGAGTCCTTCTTAAGATCCACGAAACATAGATATGCTGGTTTACTGTATTCTAATTATTTCTTTTGCACTTGCTTTAGTATAAATATAGCGTTAGTGTATTCTCTTTCCGACCTAATACCTTGTTGTTCTTCTGTTAATGTTATAATTTCATTTAGTTTATTATTTGTTAAGACATAGTACCTATTTAAACATCTTCCTTTGAATAATCTTGTCTTCGTCTTCTTCTTTCACTACCCCTGCTTGTCCCTTTTTTTAGGTCAATGTTCTTTACTTTTCTTCGCCACTCATTCTTGTCCATCGTATCTTCTTCATCTAATATTTCTCTCTTAAGTTTTCTGACACTTCTTCCATATTCTCCTCGGTTTGCAAATACCTCTCTCTTTATCAACTTCTAACAGCTTTATCCTACATCTCATATGATTTTTGTTTCTACTGACATGATTAAACCATTGAAGTCTTTGTTCTTGAATATTTTTTGAGACTGTAGCCACCCTAGTATTTCCCTAATTAAGTCGTTCCCGATCCGGTTCCTTTTAGGCTTATCGAACATCCTAAGTAATATTTTTATTTCAGCCACCTTCTTTTTTTCTTTTCCTGAATATTCGTTAAAGGCCATACTTCAACGCCATACACCAATGCAGGCTACACCGCACATATAATATTGCCTTGAGCCATATTAATAAAAATATTACTTTAATTAACATGTTTTTTATCAATATACATTTTTTGTCCTTTTTGTTTATTTTTTGGGTCATTGAACAAATATAAATATCCCAATTACATTTTTGTATATAAATATTTATTTAATTATACCAATTTTAGTATCCTTCAAAGATATGTCTTATTTAAACGTGTTACATTGTGTCTTTTTTAATGCTTTTCTATTCTTTGCCATATTTTGCTCTTTCTACTTCTTGATATTCCATTTCATCAATTCCATAACTAAACCTCCACTAATATATTCATTTTTAATTGTATCTTTTTCTAAACTTTACTTGTCCTGACCAACATCTTCTTTTTCGTCTTTATAGAGGTGGGTCTGGAATCTTCAAAAGACATCTCAGTCCAGGACGCCACCTGACTAACCTTGGTGCAGGATTCGTTCTTCGTATCCCTGGTAATAGTTTCCAAGGTACTTTTAAATGCCCTCTCGTTGCCGAATCTACGCCTACCTGCTAAACCAGACCCTCCTCTGTCATCCAGCGATCCGGAAGCGAAATGACCGCTGTAATCACTTCCGAAGCACTACCTTTATTCATTAATTCTCCATTCATACACATCCATACTCAGAAATGAGGCCCCCTGTCTCGTTTCAGGTAACGCGTAGAAGACCCTCATCGCTCCTAATTCGGCATCATTCCCAGACTGGCAGTTCCTTCTCCCCCGTGATTCTGACTCACGCAGTCTAACTCATAAAGTCTGACCCACTTTTCTAGCTTCAACTTTCAGCATCTTTTACTCTTACCTTTGCCAATGGTCTAGCTGTCTTTCTTCCCCTTCCTTTTTCTTGATCACTGCACGGATATAGCTGTGTATGTTAGTCCAACCTGATTTATTTTCAATCATTCCCTCAATAATTTCTCTCTCCATTCTGTTCCTTTTCACTATCCATCAGTTGCAATCTAACATTGTATGTTGTCACAGTGTCCTAGTATCCACAGTATAGGCATTCATCTGTAACAGCCTTTCCGATCCTAGAGAGATATGCCTTAAAATACCCGTGTCCTGTGAGCACCTGCATCAGGAAATAATCCAGTTGCCTGTGGCCACAGTCCAGTCAATCTCTTATGTTCGGGATCAGCATTTTCGTCCACTATGCCACATCCTCCTTGTTGTTCCGTTCTTCTTGCCATCTTTCAATTGACCTTTCTCTTTCCTGTCTTCTTTCGGCGCCAGTAAGATTTGGACCTCTTCTCTCATATAGCTCTTTCTTTTCCACCACCAAAAAATGCAACGGAACACATCCAGTGATGTTCCATAAGGCTGCCGTAGACGTTCTTGTGCAAGTTTCTTGTCCATAGGCATTTCGTAAGGAAGATACGCATGGAACTTCTTTATGACGATCTTGTATCCCTGACAACAGATATCCTCATCCAGCTTTTCACACAGCTCTTTCCAGTGCCTTCTTTTTTCTGTACGAATTTTCCTGTAAAGTTCTCTCTTCCTTGCGTGGTACTCTTCCTCGATCTCCTCGATGACCTCAAGGTTAATCCCTGCTCTGCCTTTTGCTCTTGTTAACCTTCTTCTCATTGCTATACATTCATTTCTTAGTGCCTTGATGTCTGCATTGGCTGCTTGGCAACCAATCTTGCTTACTTCTATCGCTTCTTTAATGACTCTCTCCAGGCTTTCCACCGTCGGTGATTGACCCTGCATTATGCTCACTCTCCATTTAGTTAGCTCTTCGTATACTTTCCAGTCATTCTCATTGCCGCATCTGCCCCCCGACATCCCGGATGTACGGACCGTGTTAGTGGTCCCCGTTCCAGTTATCGAGAACTCGATGTACTGGTGTTAAGTTCCGGTGTAGTCTAGCAAAACCTTCCAGCCTCTTACTTTCTTTGCTATTCCTTGTATCACCATGGTCACGTCGATGTACGTACCTGTACCTGTCCTAACAAATGTAGGCCCAGACCTGTGTTCAGAATCACTAGGTCTAGAGTGCCCACCCAGTCAGTTAGTATCCTGCCGCGAGTATCGGTGATGGGAGATCCCCACTCCGCTGCTTTTGCGTTAAACTCTCCCAGAACTACGTATTCTTCTCCTGTGTTTCCAACTTCCTGCATAATCTAGTCTATCTTTATCTTGTATTCGCCCACCCTCACGTTTGAAAAAATATAACATCTAAGTAATAATGTTTTTGTAACATAAATTTGTTATTGTTATTTCTTTTTGACTGCGCAATATTCATTATATTTTCTTTAATGTTTTAATTACACAATACCATCTGCGCTCGCTTTCATTTCATCTGTTATTCTTTACTAAACATATCCCCATTGATTTTTTTTATTTTATATACGTTATAATATTTACACCTACATTTATTATACCTATGTTATAATAAGACAAGATTTGGCGAATTAAGAAATTCGCAGAATGACCTACAACATGATGTAAAGATACATCATGATAAAATTCATTTCTAATCAAATTGTTTAATCCTAAAAATAACTACAAAGTAACGACGCTGCTATTGTGTAATTTTTAAATAGTTTACGGTCCAAAATTTGAGTATTGTCAATTGTCTTCTTTTTCTTCTGGTAGCACTACAACCCGGGGTGGGTCTTGGCTGACTGCACAACCTGCTTCCATCTCGAGCGGTCGTCCATGATGTTTAAGTCAGTGTGGAGCCCCATTGTTCTCAAATCTGACCATATATTATCTCTCCATCGCATTCGTGGACGTTCTAAGGGCCTTCTCCCTGTCGGGACTTCTTCCAGATTAACTTGGTAAGGCGGTTATTAGGGAGCCTATGAACATGGCCAGCCCTTAGACGTTGGGATTTAATCCTTGGACTACGTCGCTAGCACTATACATTTGTTTGACCTCGGCATTTGTTCTCATTCGGTATTGGTTAGTATTCGGATCGTGATAGGGACCGAAGATCTTTCTGAAGATTTTTCTCTCAAAGCATCTGAGTTTACTTTCCATTGCTTTTGTCAGCGTCCACGTCTCACACCCATACATGAGCACCGGTCTAATTACTGTTTTATATATCCTAATTATTGATGTTCGTTTTAGGCTCTTGGATTTAATAGTGTTGTGGAGGCTATACATACATCTGTTTGCTACCTGAATTCTCCCTTTTATCTCTTCCGTAATATCGTTATCTGTGGTGATAGTCGCTCCGAGATATTTAAAACTCTCCACTCTTTCAAAGGTATAGGGGTCTATTGTTACATTTTGTCCTATTCTACCTCGTCTCTTTTGTCTGCTAATGCACATATATTTGCATTCATTGACCCTTAGACCGGTATTTTTTGCCTTTCTCTCTAATTTATTGAAGGTTTCTTTTACATTGGTGACGGTATTTCCTACAATGTTAATGTCATCCGCGTATGCTAGTAGTCATTTTGGTCCATTTACTGTCAGTAGTTCTGTTCTAATTTGTGCGGTTCTTACTACTTTTTCCAGGATTATATTAAAAAGAAGAGGTGACAGCGCGTCTCCTTGTTTCAGTCCACTGTTTATTTCAAACGACTTTGAGAGCTTGTTACCTATCCGCACTCTAGATCTACAGCCATTTACACAAACTTTAACGAGCTGGATAAGTTTTTTTGGAACTGAAAGTTCTGCCGTTGCATTCCACATCTGATCCCTTTTATTGCTGTCGTATGCTTGTCGGAAATCTATGAAGAGATTATGAATGGTTCTATTGAATTCCCATTCTTTTTCAAGCAGCTGTCTGAGAGTAAAAATCTGATCTATGGTCGATCTATTTTTTCTGAATCCGGCTTGGTATTCCCTATGAAAATTTCTACAAGATGTTAGTCTACTTAATAGGATGTTCAATAAGATTTTGTACGCCGTATTAAGTAGGGAGATGCCTCTATAGTTAGAGCACTTGGTTTTGTTTCCCTTTTTATGGATAGGAATTATTACACTTTCGTGCCATTTTGTTGGTATTTTCTCTTCGTTCCATATAAGTGTTATTAGTTTGTGTAATTGTCTATGTAAAGTTTCTCTTCCGTATTTAAGAAATTCGGCTGGTATATTGTCAGAGCCTGGAGCTTTTGCGTTCTTCAATTTGTTAATTGCTTGCAAGGTTTCGTCTATTTTTGGGTACTCTACCGGTAGGTCCACCCCAAGGTATATATCCTCTCCATGTTCTTCATCCTGGTGTATATTAAGTAAATTTTTGAAATATTCTTGCCATGTTTGGAGTAGTTCTTGTTCGTTGATTATTAATTCATCATTATTTTTCCTCAGTTAGGTCTGACTGAGGAAAAATACAGACACGCAGTTAGGTCTTATGTCAATATGTCAAATGTCAATTGTAGGTCAATTTTCAATTGTCACCTTTTTCAATTGATTGTTAAACTATAATGACCTAGGTTACTAATTTAATTTTTTTGATTTTCAGTAAACTTTTTGACCATTAATATATCCAGTCTATTTTCATGGACATCACCGACTATACCAAAACTATACAGTAACGATACAAGTATCAATCCTTTGGGTAAACCAATAACAGCCGTGGAAGAGTCATTGATTGCTTCTTTACCTAATATTGGATCTATTGTAGGAACGATTGTATCAGGACTACTAGCCGAGAAACTTGGTCGCAAAAGAACTTTAATCCTTAGTAGTGTGCCATTTTTTGCATGTTACATATTAATAGCCAATGCCTCAAAATTTTATTTGTTTGCGATTGCCAGATTAATAATCGGATTTGTTGGTGGAATTGCTTTAACTATTTTGCCAAGTTATGTAGCAGAAATATCAGAAGATTCAAATCGAGGTATTTTAGGTTCTATATTTGGAATTATGAGTGCTATGGGTCATGTTTGTTCGTTTGTCATAGGTCCTTTAATAAGCATTCAGTCATATGCATATTTCCTTCTAGTTCCTGTAACCATATTTTTAGTAACTTTTGTACCATTCATTCCAGAAAGTCCTTATTATTATATGATGAAAAATGACACTAATGAAGCTGAGAAAGTTTTAAAAAAACTTCGTAAAAACTCTGATGTTAGTAAAGAACTACTTCACATACAAGAAGTGGTATATACGTCTAAATGTCAAAAGGTAAATTGGAAAGAATTAACCATTGCTCCCACTCGAAATGGCTTGATGGCTTGTTGCGGACTACTTCTATTTCAACAATTTATGGGAATTCCATTTATTTTGCTTTATTTACAACCAATTCTCGATGCTAGTGGAAACATAATCCCTTCCAACCTAGCTTCGATAATTATAGGTTTTGTGCAGTTAGCACTTTGCACTGTTTCAACTATAGTAATAGATCGTGTTGGTAAAAAAATTCTTCTTCAGATATCTTCCATAGGCAGCATTGTATCTTTAGTAGGTTTGGGTATGTACTTTTATCTTCAAAGTAACAATTACAATGTAAATCCAATATTTTGGTTACCACTGGCAAGCCTTATTAATTTTTATGTTTTTTTCAATATTGGTTATGCTACGATACCTTGGACTATTGGAGGAGAACTGTTTGCTACGAATGTAAAATCTATCTGTGTTAGCATTGGTTCCTTTGGTGCTCTTAGTTTAGGGTTAATAATCGTAGCTGCTTTTCCATTTATTCGGGAGGCATTTGGTATGAGTGGAGTTTTCTTTATATTCAGCGGAATAGCTTCCTTAAGTATTATTTTTGTCTCAATTTTTGTACCAGAAACGAAAGGAAAAAACTTTTTGGAAATACAAAATGCTTTAAGTGGAAGGCAAAAACATGTTGACTATAACAAACAGTAACTATTAAATTGTAATAATTTAATGATTGCATTTTTATTATTACTCTTGCCAAATAAAGTATCTCTATTGTATATATTAGACTAATTCTTATTTATAATAAATATTTCTTTATTATTTTGTTTTTTTTTATTGAAGTTAACATGTCTCGACATCTATGGCAGGTTGACACGGGTAAAGAAACGTCTCGAGTATAACAATATAAATTAATTACTATTTAACTAGGTATAAGCCACAATTAAAGATAAAAATACGTTTATTGACGTTTCAATTTCCACTTCGGAAATCGTTCTCCGAAAAAATTTCCAAAAAAAAATGAAATTTCCGAAGTGGAAATTGAAACGTCAATAAACGTATTTTTATCTTTAATTGTGGCTTATTCCCAGTTAAATAGTAATTAACCCAGATATTACTGAAACTTTTATTGTTAACATTTTGAATTAATTTCGAATTTTCATGGAAATTATAGCATATGGAACCAAAAAACACAATCATATATTTTTTTATGACGATACCTGTCAAGTTTTTGACATGTTCTTTTAAAAGGACGGTAGTAATATACGGTACCAGACATCATATATATTTTATTAGTATCAATTTACAAAGAATGAAAGGATTTAAAACAAAATTTTGGATGTAAAGGTATTTTGCACTTTTCACACAAAAACTGGACTTTTTTGTGACAATATCCACATCGCGATTGCTTTTCTTGATAAAGAACCAAGTGGTTAATACCGTCATATCTTGAATTGGCTACCGAATTCGAATTCCGCTTAGAAAGTCCGCGTTTTGTTTCTTTTTTAAAAGTTTCCAAAATATTAGTTGCAATAGATCTTCTAAATTCAAGTTGATCCAGTTTACCGTCTTGAGTTTTGTGAATCTGCCACGCATTTTGAATAGCCATATCAACGCAATGAGCAAAAAGGGGAAAATACCATTTCTTTCCTCTTATGGACACTCGATATAAACTGATGTTCTGGTCACTGCGATCAACGCCACCCATGAAGTTATTGTATATTCTAACAATATTTGGTTGAGGAACTTGAATATGTTTTTTCTCTGCTTGTGAAAATCTCTTTACAGAGAAGCAAGGCATTACTGGTACAAAATTGGAAGCAATAGAAACGATATTATTATCATGCCAGCGGCAAACCACTATTCCTGTATTTTTATCAAGACGATACTCGTATTTACCACGTTCAGTTTTTTTCATAATAGATGAACAGGGTAAAGGGCATTTCATGGTGCGATTTTCCCTTACAGTGCCTGTACCAAATATGCCTCTTTGTTTTAGCTCATTCAGTAAATAAATGGAAGTAAAATAATTATCAAAAATTAGATGGAATCGCCTTTGAGGCCATACTTCATTCAATCTGTCTGCATAGGATAGAACTACTGATGCACCCAATCCAAGGACTTTATATTGTTCAGGTATCGTAGTGGAATTACCTTGGTAAGGAGAAAACCAAACTATGTATCCCAGACGAAGGGCTCCTACCCACATTTTGTACCCCCAACGGATTGGTTTTCCCCCGATGAATTGTTTTGTGGGATGGCGACCAAAATACGGAACCATTGCCTCATCTATGCTGTTATGTTGTTCTAAAGGGGAAAATTGTATAAATTTTTTGTTTATTACGTCGAACAGGGGTCGCATCTTGGCAAATCTATCAAATTTATCTAATGACAAGTTATTGCAAACATGCAAAACTTTCATTATGTGGGAAAATCTATCCCTAGATATAGCAGCTACCACCATTGCGTTGTGCGAATCGTCACGATTTTCCCAGTACATGTACCTTTTCGGCACAACCACATAACCACTCAATACAAGAACGCCTATAAAACATCGAATCTCATTTTGAGTAATGTCGTTCAAAAGATTTCTTTGTCCTGCGTAGATGTTAGTGTATTCGGTAACCAAATTGATGACTTCATCATCAAAAAACAAATTGAAAATTTCCATCGGCGACTGAGTCATTTTCGGTCCAAATTGAGTTTTCCAGTAAGTACAATCAGGGTGTTGATACAAGTCTCCTTGAATCCAGTGTGCAGATATTCTCTTCTCTAATTTATGGGGCAGCTTTTCCTTGGAAAGAAACAAAGCCAATGGTATATTGTCATCATCCGAATCTTCTTCTGGTAGGCTGGAATTCACAGAATCTTGTGGTAATTCAGTCGCGTTGTCAAAAACAAGTTCTACATCGTTTCTCATCTGACTACCCGGTAAATTATTTATTGTAGTTAGTTCTTCATCGCCGGAGTCGCAATCGGTGACATCATCATTGGCATTTTCTGGGGGAAATATGATCAAACCATCTGGAGGGACTGGGATTTCATCAGAATCAAGCTCTTCTAATAGCGCATGCAATTTGAGAGGCCTCCTGAAACAATACGCACGTTGGTAGTACTAATTACTACCGTCCTTTTAAAAGAACAAAATGAAATCCCAAGCGGCGAGCCTTTGAAACAACGTGACAACTATTCGAGCCAAGAATATACGTACATAAGTCCCTATTATACAATAATCCACATGCCATGCCGTGAAATAACAGTTTTTTAATTCTAGACTTACCTCCAATTATAAGCATCCATTTTGTAGTCCAAAACCTGGCAATTTACACAGATAACCTCACAATTACAGCATGTGCGCGCACTAAAATCGTTAAAACTTGTCGAATGCTGGCTCTTGAAAACACTCCATCTAGAGCCATCTATCAGTTGGTAGCTGTACTAACCTAAATTACGCATAATTTACACTGCCTTTTAAAAGGACGGTAGTAATATCTGGGTTAATTTAAAATGCCACAAGAAAATAGCTTCAGAACAATATTGAAAAATATAGTCTTACAAATTTTGTTTTTTTTTAAACGAACAATCTTACAATATGTGTTTATACATTAATATACTCTGCAATGTTTTAAAAAGTCAATTAGAGCATTGTAGACATTTGGCGAACTAAGTATCTGTTTCAGGTTACCGTTTATATTATGCGCTAGTCTATATAGTCTATAATAACTGTCCTCAACGAGTAAGTGTTCTACTGTTACGTGGTGAGAACCACAATGTTCACAAGCAGGTGGGGTTTCGGAAGTCATCAGGTATGTGTGTATACCTTAAATGAGTATACAGTGGGATTGATTATGTGCAATTTTGTATTTTGTTTATTTCAATTATTTTGTCATGTTTTACGAGTGTTTTGTTTTATGGTTGTTGCTATTTTTGGGTTGGGGAAAACTACTAAAATAGTAAGAGAGTAAAAGCTGACGTCGTATGAAAACAGGAGGCTCCAAAGCTTCAATGCACATGCCTTCGGCGAGGCTAGATTGAAATGCATCTAGACATATACGTAAGAAGGTCGTTTGTATTGAATTAAGGGATTTATGATAAGTATTATAGGCGGTCATGTAGAGCATGCATCCATAATCTAATCTAGAGTGAAGAAGAGCTCTATAGATTTTCAATAACATATTTTCTTCAGCTTCACATTGATGATGTGCAAGTGTTTTCAATATGTTTAGTTTACCAGCACAGTCGTCGTTTAGATTTTTTAAGTATATTTTTTAGTTTAACTTTTGATCGAATATTAGCCCCAATATTTTATGATGATTTACTGTAGGTAAAGTACATTGTTTAGATATATTTCCGGGTTTCGAACACTTTGCTTTTTGGTAAATTCTAGTATCTCAGATTTTAAGCTGTGGGACCGGACAGTGTGGGTAAAACCGGATCCGCAAATATTTAGAGCAGTATATAATCAAGAACCTGAAATCCTTACACACTGGACACAACATCGGACGCGTCAAGAAAAGTCATGCTTCTCCGCCTCATAAAGTAATATACTATTTTTAAAAAAAAAACTAATAAAGCTTGATAAAACTTATAAATATAACAAATTGATAATATTGAAAAAGTACATTTATTCGTATTTTGTGTTTTTATTTTAATTTTATTATTAATTGGGTGTATTTTCTGACTTCCTAAAAATCTTAAAAATGGATAAAGTGCGATATGAAAGTCTGCTCATTAATTTTTCTTTGACTCTATAAGACCTAAAAACATTTAATGGAGTATTGCTTATTAGTGGCTACCATGCACTAACACAAGAAGATGATGTACCGATTGAAGTGTAAATGTAAACATATTTTACAGAAACTAAATTTTATTACATTTTTCTTTTACTTTGTTTAACCCTTAAGTACCATGGCGGGGTCAAAATTGACCCCCCGCGTTTTTAATGCCAAGTTTCGCTACCGAAACATAGATTGAGCTTGCGCGTTTTCTGCTAATCTTCGACCGGTAGGTGATTTATCGATCTACGAAAATTCCGTTAGTTTATCTGTTACTACTGCAGAGTTAGGCACGCATAGGGTCAATTTTGACCCGCTTATGGTTTAAGTATCTCTAGTGCAATTAACGAGTAATTTGAAATGGCTGGGTGTAGTCGCAATAAACGTCCTCTGACACAGAAAGAACTTAAAGAGGAGGGACAAAAAAATTATGGACAATGGACTAGATAGTGACAGTGAGTTTTTAGACCAGGCTAGTGAACACAGTGATCACGAAACAGACAGTGAAGAGGAATGGGACGATGATGACGAAAAAAATTGGCAAATTAATAATTCCGAAACTGGTAGTGAATATTCGGGTGAAGAAAGTAATATAGCTGACTCAAGGATGTGTTTTATGGCAAAAATAGGTACAAATCGTCTAACACTTCTCCCACCTTTTCTCGTACACGTAAGCATAATTTAATTAGTCATTTACCTGGTGTTATTGGAAAAGCTCAAGTTAGTATGCCAGAGAAACCAATAAACGAATAACTAATATGGCTTCTACATATAATTTTTACAATTTATCGTGTCAATATACCAATCATATACTTGACATAATTGAATTAGAGGCCTTCTTAGGCTTATTATATTTAGCTGGGATATTTAAATCCAATAATAAAGATTTAAGGTCTTTATTTGCTACGAATGGTACTGGCCGTAATATTTCGA